AACATTTTGTGTTTGGACTTATACTGAGGAATAAAAAGTCTGATCTTGATGGAAGATAAATTGAAGACACAGAGTTCATTTTAAAATATTGATAAGAAGAGCTCAATAGAATTTTAAAAACTGTGGAACATGAGCAAAATACAGGACTAAAGGAGAGCCAAATGCAGTTTCTTAGCTCCTTAAACCCAAGTGGATGTTGCCAGCTTTCGACTGAAAATCCTGATTTATCTATTGGATGGTGACAGCATCCAATAACATTTATGTCTCCATGGCTGAAACTAATTCAAACTATGTTATTATCCACCTTTTATAAATAGACCAAAAATTTCATAACATATGGTGATAGTTATTAGGGCATCATGAAAATAATTCTGGGAGAATGAATTCAAAATTATGGGTTTAAAGAGTTAAGCTAGAGACACAATCTAAAAGGTAGTCTCACAGTCCTTAGTATCATGTATGTGAAGCACAACAGAGCAATAAAAAACTCAGGTTTTCTATATATGTTTGGGCTCAATTCTTTACAGTAGGTGTCTGTCACTTGTTGGTAACAAGTTTCAACAATAAACAAACACCACACAAGCCACTTGTTTTAAAATAATATATTAAAACAAGTCAAATGTATGTACAAATGTTCATTACACTGTTGGTTATCACAGTTGTATCCAGAGCTATAAATAATTCTTTCTATTTTATCGAATTGTGTTCTAAAGTAACTGAACCAGCCAGTGTTGTCTTTGTAATGTTAGAAGCTAGAATCATTGAGTTCAAATTCAGCCTACTGTTCACCAGTGGTAATAATGAAGAATATGGATGGCTCAAACTGCTTCTGCATAAATTTCCGGATGCTGAATCTTGTGACAAAGGTCGACTATGAACTTATGGGCAACCCTGAGATTATCATGGCAAAACTAGACAGGGCCAAGTTCTTTACAAAGATCAATCTCAGTACAGGTTATTGACAGATCCTGATGGAGACAGATCTCAAGAGAAGACATCCTTTGTGGCTTCAGATGGATGTTACCAGTTCAAGACGATGCCTTTTGGGTTAGTCAACTCAGCAGTGACATTCAACTGCATGATGAGGAAGATGTTGCATAAAACCACCATCATCGAGCATTATGTGGACAATATTCTGACACACACACAGCTAAATGAAAAGACCACCTGAAGAAATTTAAAGCTATTCAGGCAAGTTTGACCACCAGACCATCTAAGTACTGCACTGGTTATGCTGTGCTGAATTTTGTTGGACACGAGGTGGGTGACTGACCGATAGCCATTGAAGAGAAGATGCTAACCCACATAAAAGATGCACCAGTTAACAAGATACTACAGCAAGTTCATCCCAAACTATGCTGAAGTCAATGCAGCACTGACTGACCTGACCAAAAAGGGGCAACCTAACAAGATGAAGTGGGTACAAACATAGCAGATGGCATTCTTGAAGTTGAAGAACATGTTAGGAAGGTAAAATAAAAAAAGAACAATTCAAGATAAGATCCAGAGCATGCCAACAAAAAATGAGTTAGTAAAAATGTTACAAAATATATCAGTTACAGATCTTGGACTAGAAGTATTAGGTGATAACATGGCAGCTAGTTTGTAAGTGCTACAATACATTATGTGGAAATAATATATATGATATCCCTTAAAGGGGGGGGGGAGAAGAGAGAGGAGTAGGCAACCTAAACTTAAACAGAAAAAAAAAAAGTGAAATATCTATAAATAATAGAAGACAAAATATTTTGTAACATAAAACTAAATTGTTTTTCCATTGCTTAAGAAGTACAATATCATTAACATGATTATTTAACACCTGCCACCTGAGCAAGCCCGGCATCTTGACGTAGATACAAAAAAGTCATTCTGGAAAGGTATGGGTTGTAATAATTAAAACAAAAAAGAAGACGTTTGGCATTATTTTTGAGGTCTACTTTGCTGGGACTGATTCGAGACCAGGAGAGTCAACATAGAGAAGTTAACTTGTAAATGTAAAATAAAATAATGTAGCAATGAAATAGGCTTGAAAGTTTCTGGATGTAGTTGTGAAAGCTAAACCATGGATCCAGGTCAGATGAGTGAAGAACTTATTTGAAGATATTCCAATTGATTTGGCATACCAGCTGAATCAATGATTTGTCAATTGATCACTGCATTGACAGCAATACATAAAACAATGGTCACAATAGTATTGTTATCTTCAAAAAGGGGAATTGGAATCATATATAAGAAATCCTTAGTTTCTATAACTTGTGAAACTAACAGCACAGTAATGCCCAATGATGCAATGTTGAAGTTGAAACGATGCATGATGCATTACGAGATGATTTCCCTATCGATTCTCAAATCAAAAAAGTTATTTTTTCAATGAAGAGTAAATATAAGAAGGATGGTATAATCCATACAGATTTGATCATGTCATATTTTCATTAATATTTAGTTTTTTTTTCATTTTAGAATTTGTGCCAAACTTCATTCATTGAGATTTATCAAAATAACCCTAAAGGAGACAGTTTCCAGAATAACACCACCATTAACCATCCTAGTCTCTGTACTAAAAGATGCTGGGTTGGCTCTTGTAGCAAGTGTTAAAATCGTTTCTTACCTGCTGCACCTCATCCTCTGAGTTGCACATTGCTAACATCATCTCCATAACTCCCTGCTGCCCAAGACAGTAATTCCCAACATCTAAAGGACCCTATAAGGTTAAAAATGTAACAAAAAATTTTAATTTCTGGAATAAACACAAATGACATTTGCAAAATACAGCAAGAAAATTCATGCTTCTTATATTTCACAAGTATTACTGGATGAGGCCAGTAATTTAGTTACAACTTATGATGATGCCATTTACAATCTGACACTATCAAATTATCTTTTTCTCTGTGTTCTGTATATCAATAACTCCCTTTTCTGAAGGCATTGTCAGAGCTAATTGTCAAAGATTGTATGACATTTAGTAACATCATCATAATGATATAATATAGTCAACATTAAAAATATTCCACAGACCTAAGATGCTGCAGCACCAATAGCTTCTACTGCAACTTTCTAGAAATACAAAATATAAAGGTGTGATAATCATAATAATAATAAATCTCTGAGGGACTATAAATTTCCTTTTGTGACTTTATCCAGCTGAAACTGTAATCTATAAATTTAAAGACAAAACTTAACAAATAGTTCATTTATTTTTATTATCATTTTATTCAATCCAGTCTCATTTATTTTTGGTATATGATTTTGAATAACAATTCAAGGAAGTTTTTTCTTTAGGTTTCAAGTGTCCTTAAAATAAGCTATGTATATTATTTTGAAAACAAGTGAAGTGCTTGCTCTTAATTTATCATCAACAAGTCACAGACACCTACTGTAGAAGAATCTTAAGCCCAACAACAACACAGTATATATTCATACTATTATGATGTATAAGTAAAAGCCTTTTATTTTGATAACTGGAAAAAGTATTACGTTTTTAAATTCTGATAATTGATGAGCTACAGCTAAGATTATACAGTGGTAAACGATGATAGAAGAAAATGTGAATGACAGTGGAACTAAGTAGGCCTATATACGCACAACTATAGCAGTAATGAAAATAGTGTAGAGATTACGATTATGCTATACAACCATGTCAAGTGATTTTGATAACTGGGTAGAAAGAGGATCTCTGTTTGGGTTAAAAGACAGAGTTTGTTAAACATCAACAAGAACTAGAGAGAGAAGAATAACAACAGAAGAGACAAAACTGAGAAAGAAGAAAAGGAAAGAGAAGAAAATGAGAGAAACAATAGACTGCAAATAGAGATAATAAGAGCACAAACTGAGATAGCAAAACTCACCCAACTGAAGTAAGAAGGACCCACAAATGACATTGGAGTCAGGGCTACCTGATCTAAACTGCTCAAATTTAATGAACCTAAAGATGACATGGATGCTTTCCTGGAGAAATATGAAAGATTCGCACAAAGTCAGAACTGGGACAAAGGCGACTGGGCAGTTTGTCTCAGCCCACTTCTCACAGGAAAAGGCCTGCAAGTATATGCAGGCATGACATCAGAAGATGCCATGGATTATAGCAAGTCACTGAAGAAGTTTTTCATCAGAAATTCAGAGGAGTCAAACTCGACACTGGAGAAACTGTATTTCAGTTTGTGGTGCATCTGCAGCAATATTTTACCAGATGGACTGACATGGCCATGTGTGAAAATAGTTTTGAGGGACTGGTAGACCTATTAGTACATGAACAGTTCATGACCATGTGTTGAACTTGCATGTCACTGTTCCTAAGGGAGAGAGCACCAAAAGATGTAGACGAGATGATCAAGCTGGCAGAACAGTATATGGAAGCCCATAAAAGTAGTATAACTGGCAAGTCCAAGAATGTCCAGTTAAATTTGAAACCAGTAATGGCTGACCAGAAGCAGTAGTTTACCAAAGGTGACAAGAGGTTAATAAATAGAAGGGAAAAGATATGCTATGTTTGTTATAAAATGGGACACGTTGCAAAGAAGTGAAGTCCATTACCATCAAACAACAGCAGAAAGATCAACGTAAAGCAGCTGGAGCTATTTACAAGAACAGTGCTGGTAAGAAACAAGAAAGAGTGACTGGAACTATGGATGTTGCTGCCACAAAAAAGAGAATCAAGACTATTTGTCAAATTCAATACAAGAAAGCATGATCGATCAGTGCACGACTAATGGATGGCTCAAGTTAGCAAACGGATCAACAGTGCCAATAGTAATGAGAGCATGTGGCAAACATCAAGAGGTGCCAACAAATCATGATATGCTAATATGTGAATATTATGTTGGGGACAAGAAAGTGAAGGTTCTACAAGGCACTGGGTGCAGTAGTACAGCACCAGTTTAGTATCGGATGATCAGATGACAGGTAAGGTATGCCTGTGTGTGCTAATTGATGGGACAGTGAGAAAGTTTCCAATGGTAAAAATAAAGGTAGATACTTCATGTTATGTAGAAGACCTTGAAGCTATGTGTATCAAGGAACTACTATACCACTTGGTGATAGGAAACATACCAGGTAGTAAGAATTTAGAAGAACTAGACAAAAGAAAGACTGGCAAAGCAATTGCAGTCATCAGAAGAGCTCAAAGGAAAAGGAGCAGGCAAGATATCAAATCTCTTAAAGTCTCGAGGAGTGATAACTCAAATGTAGTTTCACAGAAGCTGAAGAAAGTGCAGAGGAAAGACACTTCACTGCAGAAACTTCAGGATAGTGCCTGAGAGTAAGTCAAGCACAAGACAAAGAGAGAAGAGACTTACAGAACAGAGAACTGGAAATAAGTGTTAAACCAGACCTATCAAAACAGTTTTATTGAGGAAGTCAAACCCAAAGAAAAACTTCTATAAATATAATAATAAGACCAAGGGTCTACATTTCAAGGTTGGACAAAAGGTCTTAGTTCTGCTGCCCACAGACCACAACAAACTCACCCTGCAATGGAAAGGACCGTTTACAGTACAGGAAGTGGTCAACAGAATGCTTTATAAAGTGAAAGTGAATGGGATGACTAAGGTCTATCATGCCAATCTGTTGATGAAGTATTTTTGGAGAGAAGAAGACCTAATGGATGCAGCTATTGATGTACAAATGGACATGGAAAGTGTGGCTGTTACAGAAGTAGAATCTGAAGACAGTGACTTCAAACATATAAATAATTGTCTCTTTTTCATTAAAGTTCACACAGGCAGGCTTAATTACTTTAAAACACTCTTTGACAGGAAAAATTATTCTCCACTACTCTGTTACTACAAAACAAGGCTGTGATAATCACTTTAAGATCACCACTATAACTACTGGTTACCACAATTGTATTCAGAGTTTTAAATAATTGTCTCCTTTTTATGAAAGTCCTCACAAGTGGGTTCAATTACTTTAGAACGAGACAAGACATAGACCATTCCAAGCTTTTACTTGTTGTTAAACAAATGTTTAAACAACTGTATTTAAAATCATATACAGTCTCACATAGTAGAACATGTCATGTATAAAAACTTACATGATTCCACATAACAAAACATTCCAGGTATAAAAATGTATAGAGGAGCATGCAGTAAAACATGCAAGGTAAGTAAAACATGGATAGTTTTATGTATTAAAACTTTTCAGGTATGACAAACATCAGCTCTATATAGTAAAAGATATTAGACATGAAAAACATATATAGTCCCACTTAATAAAACTTTGAAACAAATTAGGTACAGTAGAACAATTATATTTTTCCATGATAAATATTTTTTCTATAATCACAATAACAAGCAAATTATTTGGTATGATTACAATACTAACATGTCCCTTGTATAAATAAGTTATTGAAAAACAAAATGTAAAACACTTTCAAGCAAACAGTTTTCACTTAATTGCAAATTTCTCTTTTGAAGTGAAATTTTTCAAACATTTCTCACTTTCTTAATAAAAAATTAAATGAAAAAAATAGCCACCTACCACCAAAGCTCGAACTTTGATATGATCATTAGTTGACTGATAGAGTTTTTTCAAGATACCCGTTCCCATGGAAATAATACTGGTACATTTGTCTTTTTTTTCGGAACAAGTTCAACATTATGTACAACAAATTCTTCACACTATAGAGATTATAGGCATATTATAAACACTATATATATACACATACACTTTTCTTCTTGTCAAAAGGCCACTTAGGCCTATTCAATCACTTTAGAATTTCAGTTGACAAGCCACAATATATTTTTGATTACTACCACACTAGTATTCTGTGTGTGATTAACTTACAATTGTGGCATGAGTTACCGTAATTGTTTGGTCTTCTTTCCTCTAAAAACCCTCTGTTTCTTTTGTTAAAGTGCACTCAGGCTGATTCAATTACTTTAGAACCACAATTTGACTGAATTATTTATTCTTCTTATCTCCTTTTCTACTGTTAGTCTTATTCTAACATATTAAACATTAGGCCTATGTTAATTGTTAATTC